AGATTTCTCATTATTAGATGATTGACTTGCAATAAAATTAACAATATTCATATAATGTTCAAAACAGATTTGATCTTCATTAACTTTTAAATAATCATATGAAAAATCTGAACATTTTTCAATTTTATCTATAAGATCTTGTGTCACATTTCTAAAAGAATTAATTTGACTATTACAATTATTAATAGCACAAGGCCCAGTAAGTTTTTGACGAAACATTTTGTAAATTTTTAAAAATAATAAATAACTATTTAAAATAATAAAAATTTTATAAATATATATAGTTATATAAAATTTTTATAAATTATTTACATTAATAGCAGGTCTTTATATAATTTTTTAAACTGTAGATCATAACTAAATTAAATTTTATTTTATTATACATATATGTTATATGTTAGAATGGAATTGTTATACGTGAAAACAGAATTATACGTAGTGGGTTTAGAATCCACTTAGGTTGAAATCAGAGACATGGGGAAAATGCGATTTTATTTATAGGATTTTCAAAATCCTATAAATAAAATCGCATTTTTCCCGTGTCCCTGGTTGAAATGAAATTTCAATTATAGTTCGAGTTGATATGAAATTTAAAAGCAACTTAAGTTGATTCTAAATTTGATCCTCATAAGGAATGTGTAGTTGATAAATTTGAAAATAACTTAAATTTATTAATTCTAAATTTGATACTGTAAAACCAATTAATGTAGCAATAGTTTAAATAAATTACATATTATAATAGACTAATAATATTTTAAATACATAATATTTTTTTTTATTTTTTTTTATTTCGTTTGTTCATTCTTTATGATTATTTCAAGATTATTTATTCTTAGATTTAGAATATTCTTTATTTTGGTTTAGGTTGAATTAGAATTCTTTATCAACACGAGCATGTTTTAGAATTCTATTACAACCTATGTAAATCTATGTGTATTCGGAATTAACTTAAATGGATTCTAAACCCACTATAATTCTAGGGTGATTCAAACCTAATGCTCATGGTTTCCAATTTCGAATTAAATTAGTGACATAATTATTTTGAAATCATTGATTCGTAAATTTTATTTATTTTATGAAATATTAATAATTCAAAAATAAATATGTAATATTACTTAAGAATTTTAAAAAAATTTAAGTGATGATTTTGATGGCTTGTAATTCTTTATTAATTTATTAAGATTACATCATACTTTAACAATATTTTATCAAAAACAAAAA